TTAATCGAAAAAGATAATTTGGACAATACCATGATACTAACCCATTTCCTAAAAATAATTTAATAAAAAAATTATGTAGGAAGTCCTAAAATTTAAAATTTTAAAATCAAATACGATTTTGCCTTACATAAATCGTTTTCTCATTCGAGTTATGGAACATAACTATAATTTCTTGCATGTTACTTTTCCTAATATTCAGGATATTAAGCTAACCAAATTTTATTTCTTAAATCTAAGTTTCTTGGAATATGCGTCCAGCCAATTTAAGTTTGTTCATCGATTTAATTATTTTTATATTTTAGTCACTTATACATATACGTAAAATATTAACAATATTAACGAGTGCATTACGTATACAAAAATTAATGAATTTTGTTTCTGGTTATTTTACTAATAACTTGTAGACGTTGGTACTTTTAAAATTGATAATTTAATTAAGTTAATATACTAATTCTGCCTAAGCCAGTATAAACAATATGATTGAATATTCATTATTATTGCAAAATACTATACAAACTAATAATTTTCATAGCAAATCCGGAAAAGTTACGAGTTTGATAATTAATATTTTAACCTTAAAACTTATACAAAATGACTGACTCTATGACTCACTTCATCTAATTAGTCAATCTAATAAGTAAAATCTTAGTACTCGCCTTATACATAAGTACAGAATGTGTAAATTCTTAGTTTTACTACATAGGACTAGGAATATGACGTGTGTGTATATATATATATATATATATATATATATATTTGTTTACGTGTAAATGAAGTTCTTTAGAAAAAAATCATAGGTAGAATAAAAAATGATTGAGTTAAAAATTTATAAGAACCATTAGTAAGATACAATCGAGCTAAAAATTTAAGGACCATTAGTATTTGTCATACTTGGATACCTATGTAAGTTCTAAGGCATGAATAGGATAAGGATACAACTTTTAGCACTAATAAAATGAGGAAAATGGGTTTAAAATTTTCTAAGTTTAGTAAACTATCACAAACAAATTATATANGGTCTAAAGGCTAGGCCAGTGAGGCCATTGCGTTAGGCCCCCAAAATTTGAAGGCCCCAATTAGATTTACTTAATCTCTTATTTATTATGATTACTATATACTATAAAATTTATATAAATAATTATTATAAAGAAAAATGTTATAGTATATTTTTTTGTTATTTGATTGAGGTTATTTTATATACCAATAAGTTCATAAATTATAATATTTTTCTCACTCATTAATTTGTATAGTTGCTTCAATTTTCAATTTTAATGTTATCCCTTTTATATAGGAATTAAGATATGTATCAGCAACATAATGAATTTCTTTTACAATCTTCGTTGAAATTGCATGAACACAAAAGTATTCATGCACTGGTTTTCTTTTAGTGCAATTCAACATATTATATTAGGTTATTTATAATTAATTTTAGATATTCACCAATAAGTGATATTAATTAATAGAATGAACTACAATTATCGTTTAATTATCAGAAGGAGTAAATACTTTTAATACTGTCAATGCTCAAAACTTAAGCTACTATGTTATGTATGTTTATTTCTTTTTCTTGATTGTGATGAGAGCCAAATCAAAAATTTTGCTTTGAGTTTTGGACTTCAAACGTCAGATAATCCACTACTTTATTCTTTGTGCTCTTCTTCCTTCTTTTTTTGAAATTCGCTATTTTTTGTCTTAAATGATTAATTTATTATTTAGAAAAAATATTTTGTTAGTAAATATTTTATAAAATAAATTTAATGGCCTCTCAATATGGTTTCGCCTTAGGCCAGAAGATCTGTTGAGCCGCCCTGATTATTCCTATAACATTTTTATTCAATGAATCATGTACTAGAACAACTGGAGGAAGAACTATTAGAATGCAACCAACTTCTAAACGTTATTAACATTTATATATTTTTTAGAACTTGTAATTTTTTGTTAAATTTTATTTTAGATCGCAAATACATCTGTAATTTGAATATTATTTATGTTATTCCTAAAATTAGTATATTATAATAATATAATAATACTTCTTATTTTGAGGGCCTTAAATATTTGAGCGCCTAAGGCAAAGGCTTCACATGCCTTACCCTAGAGCCGCCCTTGCCCCTCGCCGTTGTTTCAGGTGAAAAATTGTTTGACAATAACTGTCTACTGATACTTGAAAAACAATTTATATACAAAAATAACTACAACTTATACACAATATGAATTTGACAAATAAAATGTTATTACCTTCTTGCACTAGACCTTCTCACCCTAAATTGAAACTTATTCATGACAGAATAGTGCTTCATTGCACTGATAATTGTTTATTTGTCTTGATAAACTTGGCCTACTTCAATTACATTTGGCGTATGTTCTGTTATGATGATACTTTCATATTCCACAATTGCCGGAGATATTTACATATCAATCAACTTCATTGTTCCCGATACTTCTCCAATTGTGTTACAATTGCTTGACAATTGTACCACGTTAGTATTACGATAATCAGAAGAACCTCCATTCAATTAAAAGTATAGTAATCCAGACCTTTGTATATTCATGTGTTAAGTATTTGATAGAATGTTTGTAGAGACGTAACAGATGGACTGCATTTGTAGATAATTTGTAGTAAAATTGTAGAACACTTGAAATTGAAAAAATATTAGCACTGAAAAAACATAACAAATCTGCAATTGTGCTCGCATTCGACATACTACATTCCAAATTGAAATTACGCACTGTTATACACAGCGGATACATTCCTAAGTTTTTATTTTCCTTTTTCGTCTCCATATACACTAGAACTCCCATATCGTTCCGAATTTTCATTGGAGGACAACGTTCATTGATGGTGTATTTGATTTCGATAATTTTTGCGGAGGTATCAATTATTAGATGTTCTCCAATTACGGAATTCAATTGACTATAATTTGAATCGTCATTGACTACAATTCTGTCAACATCAAAATCTTTGTATCTCCCAACGCTATCCCACTGACCATTGAGCTGAAGCATAATCGCTAATTTTGACATTATGTCGCGAAATTCAATTCAATTGTAGCTAATTTTTTGCAATTATTTTCTTCAAAACCTTTGTTTATGGAAAGCAAGAGGAAAACCAAAGGAAACCAGAGAATAGAAGGATACTACATATATGTTGCCTTCATTACGGTGCGATGATAACCGATGAAAATGGTATTTACATGAGGTTCCTCTTTAAGAAAGTCCCCGAGAGGGCTTAGTTGATCCATGATTTATGTTTCTCTTTCCTCTGTTCTTTTTAATATACACTAAACCGAAAGTCTTGGTTTCAATGACTCCCCAAGCCATGACCTATTTGATCCTTCAGAACCAGCTTCAGCGTTGAGTAAAGAAAAGAAGAATTCACTATTGGATCCTTCGGCCGTGTGGACATAAAAATCTTCACTTTCATGAGCAGGAGCTGGAGTTTAGGAATCGGGTATAGGTGCTGTCCATTCCATAGACGAGAGACCTGCTGACCCACTAGTGATTTTTGTTGGTAAAAGACAACAGGTTCAAGAACTTAGAGCAGGGATAAAATCTTTCGTTTCCTTTTCGTTTGTTTCGAGAAATCTATCGATCAATTCCGATTCTTTCTTTTTCTCTTGATTCTTTTCCGATCGAGATGTATATATCATGTTCATGAATTAACGAAAATATGCAAAAACTCTATTTGCCTCTGCCATTCAATGAGTCTCTTCCTTTTTGCGTATGGCATTGCCACTCCCTTTGGCAGCATCTATTAATTTGGAACTTAATTTGAAAGTCATATTTCGGGCCTTCTTTTTTCTTCTCATCAGAGTTATTTCACAAAGACTTGCCAGGGTAAGGAAGAAGGGGGGAACAAGCACACTTGGAGAGTGCAGTACAACGGAGAGTTGTATGCTGTGTTCGGGAAGAATGAATCTCTCCCGAAAAGGAATCTATTGATTCTCTCCTAATTGATTGGACCGTAGGTGCGATTATTTATTTCAGCAGTATGAATGTTACGGGATAATATTTCAAGACACAGGATAAATAAATATGGAGAGAGAGGGTCCCCCTCTAGATGTGTTGAAGAAGGGTGTAGGGGCTCCATTTATTAATATTGATATCGAGAAGGTGGTGATACAGGATATTTAATTTTGTCAAATTTTTGGGGAAGTTGAAGTATAGAAGGGTATCGTGTATGAATCCCCCCTCTAATTTATCAAAATCTTTTCTAGATCAAGTTTCAGAAGGAATTCACCTTGTTTTCCTTTTTTTCTTTTAAAATGGTGATTTATTTCTTGCAATTCTTGCTTAAAATTGAATGAGCGTGATTCTCCCCATGATGAAAAATAAATATATCGAATTTTTTTTATGTCTTTCGTAATGACGAGATGATTAAAGAAAGTGGATTACAATTACTAATTTTTAGCCCAGCTGTGCTATTTGATGCATACACATAGGTGGCAAAATGCTTAAAAAAAAATAGTTATCCACCCATACTATCCATTAAAAATGGGTTGGATAATGAACTTTTTAAAAACGGGTCGAATATGGATAAGAACCATATTATCCACTTAGAAAATGGTTAACCAAATGGATAACTAATTTGTTTAACTTTTACATTCGTAAAGCCTCAAATGGGGGTTCCTCAAGTTTGGGAGACTGAGAATTCTCCCATAGGTGATCATATTCAAGAAGTCATCGATAATATGAATATCCATATTATCTGCCGGATAACTCGTTGTTTATTCGTCTCAAATACAGGTCGGGTCGAATAATTTATCCATTTTTTTTGAATTATCCATTTTCAACCCGCTCATATCCGACCCGACTCGTCCGTTTGACACCCCAACATACACATATTAAAAAGGGAAGAACCGACCACTACAATCTAGTTAGCTAAATTTGCAAAAATACCATGCAAGTATTGAAACTAAAACTCGAAGCCTTTTTTATCACATGAGAAATAACCTTCAATTACAGAGCCAACCCCTCAATTTTCAAAATTACTACACCTCATATCAAGTAATCGATTATCATCTAAAAACATGAAATATGATCCCACTATTCTGTGTTTTGTTCACGTACATATGTTCATCACATCTTCTAACTCCATAGATAAGTAGCATAAGCATTAAGATGCTAAAAATACATAAGAGAACACCGCACTGAGATCCAAATACTATCGAGGTTTCAAGTGATATGACATCCATTGAATGCATGCTTGCACAAAGACTCTTGCCCTTGCAATAAATAATTTTATACAAAACCAAAATGTTGAAATGCTTGGCAATGAAGGGTGCAAACATATTGAGTAGATTAGTTATTTATGTAAAACTGATGTTCAACACCTGCACAGTCAACAAAGACATTTGACATAACCCTTAACTTTCCTGCGCTTGTTTTCCTTCTCTTTGGGATCGAGGGCCTCTCAATCTCTTGGGACTTCCAATCCTTCTCTCTGTAAACAAGTCTTTGTATTTCTCCAGTAAGCGATCCTTCTCATCAAAAAAGCCTAGTAGCTCATATGTATCAGCTACTTTCTGCACGACTGACTTATCAGGGGGTTTCCGATCAAATGCTTCTAAGCCCTTGAATAGCTTAACAAGATCCTCAAGCATATGATTACGGTAATATACAGAAATCATAAGACTACACAACCGCCAGGGCACAGAATGCAGGTCATAACCAATTTTCTTATTCCAAAATTCATGTGCCTCTTTTGCCCTGTGATCCATATCCAGAGCTTTAATTAACTGTTCATACGTTCCCATTGTGTTGCCTTGACCCTTGCTTAACATCCACTTAATGACCTGAACAATTCTATGCCACTGTTGCTCTTTCTCTAGTTTGAGCAGTACCTGCTTTAGGGGTCCAATGGGGAAATTCCGCTCCCACGCAACCCAAGCATCAAGTGCACCATATACAGCTTCCTTACTATCCTTTACATCAAGAAGTGTACTGACAAGAAAGCTGATCTTGTCCTTTCTTGAGACATTTTCTCCTACTTGGGGCTTGCATTCACCTCCAATGTAGTTTTTTGCAAGGGCAGACTGTGCTTGATTGTCAAATTGATTCCCGGAGAACCCTAGTGTCTTTGCATCACTTTGATTGGGGATTGAATGTCGCACATCTGTATTGTAACTGCAAGTGAGGATGAAATTTCTGTCCACTCTAAGTTGAGTAATTTGTCTAGTGAGCCTTGAAATTCTTGCTGATCTTGACATCATATGTGTGCCTACCAGTCAAGTAAAAACAACAAGAGCATTAAAGGAATTATCGGAGTAGAAATTTTCAGAACAAAATTTCTATTGCTATGATAATGAAGCACCGGCAGTAAAAGTCAGTAAGCTCCACGACTTAATAATTGATAAAATCAGCAACAGATAATATATAGCTGTTAGCAGACGCCTAAAGGACAAACTGCAGAGTGCAATCAAAAGTTCCATGCAGATTAAGATTTGGGGATTGAATGTCGCACATCGTAAAAGCCTAACAGGAGTGGATCTGAGGGAGCTCTGGACAGGTATATATTAAAAGTTCTCTTGATGTTTATCTTGGATTTTAAAAAGTGAATAAGCAGTGCTTTTGGATGTTCTGACACTATGTCTGCTGGTGGTTGTGATCTGTCAACCATACACTCAATGGTGCTCCATATATTTGAAGACTTCTGTGTCTTTGAATCACTAAACTGCCACTGTGGCAATTTATCTTAAAAGTTCTCTTGATGCTTATCTTGGTTTTCAAAATGAATAAGCAGTGCTTTTGGATGTTTTAACACTGTGTCTGTTGGTGGTTGTGGTTTTTCATCCAGACACTCGGTGGTGCTCCATATATTTGAAGGCTTTTATGTTTTCTAATCACTAACTGCCACTGCGGCAATTCATGCTTTGATATGTCAGCTAAAGTATGTTATTGAGTTGGGTTACTGGGTTGGATAAGCTAATTTCCTTGGTAGCAGGAGAACAGATTCTGAAGTTGGCTGAGAGGTAGGATTGAATTCATTGACCCTCATCCTTTTCTGAAGAAGTGCTGTATTTTGTGCTATCAGCATTGGTTAGAAGCAAGAACCGTTCTTGAAATCTTCTTGGATATCTATCTGAGCTATTTGTCCATCTTGCTGCATATTCAAGTTAATTTCCTCAGTCTCAACCACTTTCTTTTAGCTTCCTGACTCTGTTTACTAGAGTGAAATGAAATTCAACTCATGTTAGTGGAGAAAGTTCCTATGAATTATTTCAGGTCTCTTTTAATTGTGAGATTACATATGATATGATATATTTGGGTTGGTTAATTAATTATATCAGTTGTTTTACTGTTATTTGCTAGATGTTATCTTTGAAGGAGATGGCACAGAGATGTGTAAGTTTGTTGGATAAGTCATATCTGGTCGTCCAAATTGCAGAGAAAGGTAAACTATTGGCAAAGTGATCGTTCAATATCTGTTAATATTTTATTGCACAGATTATTCAGGTGAAGAAATAGATTTCAATTTCTTGGTTTTGATTTAGCACTCGCGCTTTTTTCAAGGGATTGGTATTGCTGCAGTGTAATTTGATTTGCCTAGCAGCCTAGGAATCTTTATGTTTATTCTGGTGTGATCTGTTAGAGTTCTAACACATGAAAAACAATGTAGCCATCAACATAGGCTGCGACTTCATTCTCCATATCTCAACTTAAGAAGAAAAGGTATATAAGATTAAGTATAGCAAGGGAAGTGCGTTGTGTTTACACTTTTTCTGTTTAGATTAAGGCTATAATCGAAATTTCTGTATAGAAAGTTCCCAAAACAGACAAATCTTTATCCAAAAAAAAAATTAAGCAGATGTAGGCAGATTTCTCAACTAGATTCAGGCGACCTACACTAGACAAATGGTGCTAAACAACTTGGTCATGCTAACAAGCAATTGAAACCCTAAACTATCAACTATACCCTGGGCTCTTGTAGGCTGTTCGAATGACTATTCTGTAATTTACTAAGGATTTTCATGATTTTATAACAGCTGTTTATGCATACCTGCATTTCTTTGATGACCAATGGTCCACTTTCATATGTGGTAAGACACATGTAACCACTAAAGATTGTTTGCTTGACATCTATTCTGGTGGTTTATTATGCTTGCTCGCGCATTGCACATGCTAACAGTCTCATTTATTTATTTTTCTTCTCTTTGATGGTCATGCATATACCTTTATTCTCATTTTATTTGTTATTTTAATGGTTTATTATGCATAAATAAACCTTACACGCAGTTTTCTTTATTTCTTAATCTTCACTTTGATGGCCATGTTTACACATTTTCTCTCATCTTTCTCTTTTTCCTTTTGGAAAAAAAAAAAGGAAGATGAGATTTACTCTCATCTTGTTTGTTTTCACTACGTGTTCACATTTACTCCCAAAATAACATGAGCAGAATTAGTGTCAATCATCGGTCCCAAAAATATGTGTCTTCAGGGGCAACCGAGCTTCCATATAGGTGATCACGTGTGAACATTTCTCTGTTCCAATTTGATTAGAACGTGTTATGTTCAAACAGATGCCAAGTTATATTGGTTGGGTTTTCACACTGCCTTCCCCAGTTTAGGTGATAGGAGAATGCGCTAGGTTTTCTCTATGTACGGACTAGGATAATAACATTCTGCTTATATTACTTGTCCATTTATGTTTCTAACGTATTCATAAACTCAATGCAGTTCATATACCCTATTTGGCCTTCAGTTAGATTGAAAGTAATTCTTCTAGTATAGATTCTTTTGCACTCCCTCTTTTGCAATTTAAGATAGTATCAACTATGAAAATCGCCATGTGAGTCCTTCCAACATGTATGGTAGATACTTTTAAATTTTGTTCGTGATATATAAGTTAAATTACTTAAATTAGTCATATAAGTAATAAATAAGAGCATCAAAACAAATAGCATAAGAGATCTAGCCATCAACCAAAAAAAAAAAAAAAAGTTTGATTTAAAAATAAAGCAGAAAAGCTAACTTACAGGACTTCGAATATCTAACTTCTCAAATTCATCACTTCCAATAAGTTTTATCTTAATTTTCATGACCAAATCGGGGAAAACATCCTCTCGCAGCCTCTCCTGCAAATCGTTAAAGATCTCAAGAATAATACCTCGAGAACAGAGCATAGATACAGAAAAAGTATATTATAAAAAAGAAATTCATCACAGAACAAAGATACCCGTTAGTTACATCGCCTTGACACCAATGAAATCTATAAATCTCCTCTTCTTCTTCTTTTATTTTATTTTATTGGAACTTTTTTTTTTTTTTTTGCTTCACCTATGGATGCATTTTCACATTGAAGCAAAACTAATTTTAAAAAAATAAGAACCATGATTTTCCCTACAAGTACATGAAACACAACAAAACTAAACCTACATGAATTGCTGTATAAATTTCCTAACTGTATAGGACATTAGAATAACATTCACCAAAGTGAGAAACAAAATTACACAAAATATGCTAAGCTATTTATACTTGTGACCAACCCACAGAAATTTGAAAAAGAATCATTAGATTAGAACTAACTATAAGCATATAAACTTGCAAGAACTTCAGTAGCACTACTTTATATCATCAAATACTTCAACAAAGAAGCTTTGTCATGAATAATCGAAACCTCCATTAACAACAAAAGAGAAAAAGAACCAGAGAAATAAGCTAAAACAACGCTATGGCGATGAAATCTAGTGAGACAGAGAAGAGAAAGAGACACACAAAGTTGTGGGATACGTCGATAGCTGCTAGCCTCTAGGTATTCTCAAATGTAATTACAAAGAGGGCCCCAAACTGATTTGATTTACTTACAACGAAAAGGGTAATAAAATTGCTAAGGCTCAGTTTGCTGAACTTAATAGAGGTCTAAATTTGAATCTTTCGGATCTCAACTCATTAAATGCATTAATCTTTTTTTTTAACCACTTATTTCCTCTGAATTGGTTTGATCCATCCAAATCTTGTACAAACTCTTGAAATCATTAAGAGGCTCACTTAAAGATTTATATGAAAATAATATTTCACCACTACTCCATAGCTACCACCACAAGCCTCCACTACACTCACCAACACCAACCACCACTTTCAACGACCTCCACCGCTAACCACCTCTACCACCAATCTTCACGGCACAACGACCCCCGCCAATCAATCTCCTCCACCTCTAGCCACCATTGCACAACCACCACTGTCAACCATCAACAACGACGACCACCACATGTCCCCACCACACAACCATCACCTATCGCTATCATACAACTACCACCAGTCATCACTGTAAAACCACCATTGCCAGCCATGTCCACCAACCAAAATCGCCACCCATCAAAGCCTCACAGCCATCACAGACGACCAACACCACCAGCTGCTGCCGCTAGATTCTAGAATGTTATTTCATCAAACAAACAGTTCTTACAATGTAAGTTAGGATTTTCTTCAATACATAATATTTAATTATTAATTTGAATTTTAAATTTAATAACTTTTATAGAAAAATATCTTATACACATTCAGATGTTAACAACAAAAAATCTTAATTATCTAGTATCAGATTTAGAAACGATAACTTAATAATCAAATATGTATTCAGATTCAGGCATCTTAAACCTTAAAAGGCAAACGAGGCTTAAACCAGGGGCAAAAAGAGACCTCAAAAATTATAAAGCATTGACTTGAAGGGAATTTTTCAATGTCTTCTTTGCCACTAGGTAAAACCTTTTTTACTTTACCTTCCCCCTAACTTTTATGTAACTCGAGTTACTTTAGAGCCGTAATTGGTAATAGCATATCTCTTTTTCCTCTTGGTTTTCCTCTTTTTACTTTACTTATGTTTGTACATTTATGTAAATAATGCAACTTTTCATGCCTTTCTAAATGCCCAAAGTGAGTAACAGTCCTCAACCCTATCGCCTGGCGAGGTTGCAAGATGCCTTCTGAAAATTTAGTTCATGTTTGAGAATATAAAAATTAAATGTTTCAATATAAGTTTTGGAAAACCATACTAAAAGTTGAGTCTCCTGGAAGCAAAAATTTTTGAAAGTGAGAATATACAACAAACAAAAAAATAACCAAAAGAAAGAAAAACTGCTTTTCATTTTGACTCTATTTTTCTAGATTCTGCCTTAAATAATATAACAAACTTTTTAAGATTGTGCTGAAAGTTGACTCTACTTGTAGTAGAAATTTAGAAACTAAGAGAAGACACAGGGAAAAAGACTTATTTTCATTTATTTTTCTAAAAAACGACTTTAATAATCTAATAAATTTTTAAAAATCTAACTCAGAGGCTTCTCTACTAGAAGCAAATTTCACGCCCAAACGCCAAAAATTGTCTTTCATTATGGTCTACCAAAATTATGCATCCAATTAACCATTTATTGTTCATTCCTTCACATCATTTTTTAAACAATTCGATGTCCAGCACTAAAACACCTATTTCCACACCATCCAATTCAACCAATTCACTAATAAACCCATACCACAGTTGGCACACAGTTAAAGTAGAATGAATCACTAAATTAAATTTTTAAGGGAAAGATGAGAGAATAAATGAATTAATTAGAACAGAAAATACAAAACAGGGGAGGAGATAGAGAGAGACTTACAATGACAAAAGAGGGTTGAGCTTTTGATTCGAGTTACTGTAAGTCGAGACAGGGTTTAGGGGATTGAGCTTGGGTTTTGATTGTTTTTGTAGCGAAAATGGCAAACTAGTCCCTTATGTTTGGGAATAGGTTTAAAGTAGTTCCTTAACTAATTTCAGAGTAATTTGGATCCTTTAAATTTTGCCAAAAGTAAGTGGAGTTTTTATAATTTTTGCTATTTTTAATACTCCCTCTAGTGCACAATAAGTGACCATTTTATTTTTTTATTTTAGTCAAAAATAAGTGTCCATTTACATAATCAAGAAAAAATTAATTTTATTTTTTTAAAATTTACCCTTATTTAGATATTCCAATGTGTCAAGAAAATAATTAATTAAGGTTAATTTAGTGAATACATCTTTTTTTTCTCTAGGAGTTCCTATTTCTTTAATGAGTGTGCCAAAAAGTAAATTGATCATTTATTGTGGACCGGAGTAAGTATATTTTAATGTTTGGTGTAATCTTAAGTGTAATTTTTGCTATTTCTAGTTTATTTTCAATATTTAATGTAATTTTTAGTGTTACAAGTTTCGAACTTTGACGGGACTTTTCTAATATTTTCCAGAGTTCTTTTTGCAATTTTCGTAAAACTTAATAAGTAAAGTTTGTTAAATATTTTAATTTGATGGAGACCAAAAGTACTTATTTGTTAAAATATTTTAGGGAAACTAAATTTATTTTTGATAAATTTAAAAGAGCAAAATGGCTTATAAAAGATTTAAGAGACTATTTTACATTTACCTTTAAACATAAAATTGTTATAAAATAATAAAAGAAGGAAAAGAATATTGCAGAGAAAAGTATGGAGAGGGAATTGTTATTGATTTGGGATGAATTACAATAGAATAGAACCCCCTCTATTTGTTGGGAAAATTGACTTAACCACAAAGTAACAAACTCTAAAATCTCTTTAAAAGATAGACATTCACCATTAATAAAATACTATTTATAACATTCCCTCTTGAATGTCTATTCAACAGATAACGTGCCTCATTAAAACTTTAACTAAAATAAAACCCAGTGAAAAACAATTCGAGTGAAGGAAAAAGAGTATACATATCTAATAATGCGTCTTTTGGTTGCCCCGTTAAAAACCTTGTAAGGAAAACCCAGTAGAACAAAATCTTGTAAGAAAAAAAAAAGTACAACGTGTATTAACTCCCCCTGATGAGACAATCAATTCACATCTTTGAGCCTTCGCATTCCAATCTTGTGTACCATCTTCAAAAGATCATAGAGATTTGATAAATAAATCAACCATATTAACTTGAATGAATATATTGCACATTAATCCTCATTCTTTATGTATATGTAATGTATTTATATAATGTCGTGGAATGGCCTTGTCAATATCTCCATAGAAGTAACAATTCTCGCTATCACATTATCATGCTTATAGTTATAGCAAGATACATATCTGCACATATCGCACTTAGGATGTGGTACTTCAAGATCAAGAATTGTATATGCTTTAAGCGATTTAAATTCTTCAAGGATTGTTATATATGCCATATAAATAGACTTTAGATGCATATCAAATTTTTATGCCATGCTAGACATATAAGATAGATAAAAGTGATTGCACACATCGTTGACTTTATACTTTTGAATTGTAGGTCCAAAACTACATGTCTTTCATATGAAACCAATTCTACTTGAATTGTTTCTCCAACTTAAGATCCTCATATATATATATATATATATATATATATATATATATATCATAGATGTAGTCGACGAATATTTTATATCGGTTCCAACCTCCTTTTTTCATAAAGACATAACGTAGAGATCTCTTCATTCATATTTTCAGGTACCTGAACCTCTCCTGAGATTTTATGAAGTGTTATGTCATGTGATCTTCTAGATCGCTTGCTTCCTTATTATGGTCATTTTGATCATTTGCTCATCTTATTTATCAAGAATTTTATTTGAAACTGATTTGTCTATACACTTTAAGCCTACCATAGACTTTGTCCTTCTAGATAGGATCATTTGCAGTTAGAATATAGTTACTTTCTTTGGGTCAGCAAATGCCTCTAGCATGCTGTAACGACATGACCGGTCGTTTTGAGCATTTGCATTCCGTTCAGCTATTTGAAGTCTTGAGCAGTATCGTATAATGTATTATGACTTGTATGAATCGTCAGTTTTGATTTTCAGGTTATTTGGAATCAATTTGGAATAATGAACGTCATGATTGAAGCTTTAAGTTGGAAGAGTTGACCAAGTTTGACTTTTTAGCATTTAGCCTCGGATTAGAGTTTTGATTGTTCAGTTATGTTCGGATGGTGATTTTGGACTTGGGCATATGCCTGGATTTGCATTTGGATATTTCTAGAAGGTTTCGGCTCTATTTGGCGAAAGTTAAAAATTTGAAGGTTTGGAATCTTCATAAGTTTGACCGGTAGTTAACTTTGATGATATCGGGTTCTAATTGTAGTTTCGGGGTTGGAATAGCTTCGTTATATTATTTGGGACTTGTGTGAAAAATTTGAGTTCATTCCGAGTTGATTTGATAAGGTTCAGCACGAGTTTTGGAAGTTGAGAGATTCAAAGTTCATTAAGTTCGGTTTGAGGTGTGATTCGTGGTTTTGATATTATTATGCGTGATTTGAGACATCGAATAAGTTCGTGTTATGTTATGGGACTTATTGGTATGTTCGTATAGGGTCCCGGGGGGCTCGAGTGAGTTTCGGATAGGTTTGGGTTGTGCTGTGCTCGTTTTGATGTTTCGACGTCGTTTCTTCAAGCATAAATGGTACAACATTAAGCAAATGACCTCCAATTTCTGTTTTGATTGAAGCATTAGATCCGTATGGTAATTTTAGAACCATAGAAACTGGAATCATCAAGTTTCTACATCTTATAAGTAATTTATGGTCATTTTACTAAGAATTGGCTAGCCAATTGTTTTTAGATTAATTACGAAATTGTCACTGAATTCGTATTTAAAAATCTACACTATTTTTAAATATTTAAACCAACATATCTCCTTCATTATAAGGTCAAATGGAGTGATTCAAAAGCCTAACTTGACTGAAATTTTACAAGAAATCTATTGGAAGCATAAAAAGCAAGTTTCGGGATCATTTGTCATAAGAAACGAGGTAGAACAACTGTGCAAAAATATATAATATCGGGGATTTGTTCATTTGGTCATATTTTGAGTTAGGGAGCTCGGATTTGGGCGATTTTGGAGGCGATTTCACCACATGGATTGAGGTAAGTGTTCTATACTCAGTTTTGGTTATATTTCATGAGTTCATCTTCGTTCATGACATTTGATTGATGATTTCAAAGTAAAATTTGGGAGGTTTTGTCTAAAATTTTATAAAGTAATTTTTTGACTTTTTAATATCGATTCAGAGTCGAATTTGAGTGAAACTAGTATGGTTGGACTCGTAATTGAATGAGTTATCGGATTTTATGAGTTTCGTCGGATTTTGAGGTACGGGCATGGGTTTGACTTTTTGGTTGACTTTGAGCTTTTGATTAAAGATTCAACCTTTATCGATTGGGTTTGTTTCCTTTGGCACTATTTGATGTATTTGAGTTGCTTTTGACTAGTTTCGAGCCGTTCGGAGATCGGTACGTACGGGATAGCATTTTTGGAACATCGTTTGGCTTGCTCGATATTGAATTTGGTTTGTTCGAAGTAAGTAATACTTCTAAACTTGGTGTTGAGCGTATGAACCCTGAATATGCGTGTTATGTGCTTGGTGTAGAGGTGACGCACATGCTAGGTGATAGGCGTGTGGGCTTGCACCGTGTGAATTGTGACTCCGTTGTTTGCTGTGGTACTGTGTAGTTACATGATCTTATCTGTAATCATGAAATCTCTACGTACTAGAGCTATTGAGCTGTAATCCATGTTAGAAATCATGTCTAGGCTATATGCTTATCCTGTTGGGACCCACTGGGGTCATTTTTGTTGTTGAGTTATCTGTTTATATTGAAATTACATACTCAGCCATACGCATTCTACATATCATATCTCAGTCTATATTACCACTAATTGATATATCACATCATTATTTTTGGGCTGATCTTTCATGACATTGTGAGCCCGGAAGATTGGAGAGATTGATGACTGAGTGAGGCCGAGGGCCTGTTTGTAAGTGATATTTATGGGAGCGGGCTGCACGCCACAACATGTTATTTTGATTTATGCCATGATTGGCTTATTATAGCGCTTGGGCTGAAGGAGCCCCTCCGGAGTCTGTACACACCCCCAGTGAGTACAGATACCTTTCAAGCGCGAGTGGCGAGTGATTGAGAGGATTGAGTGTCTATGAGGACTGAGTGACTGTTAGGAATGAGTGACTGAAAGGACTGAGTGAATTGATACTCTGAGAGTATGCATATGGTTTTATCACCGAGTTGCATCTCATTCTACATGCACACTTGACATATATGTATAGAGATACATTTTTCTCGTGCTGTATGATATCACGTCATTCATGACTTCTCATACATATTAACATGTAGGCATAGAGATGTATTTTCCTCATGCCATTTGAAAATGAAACATTTACCTGTTGAAAGCTTTGGAAAAAATTATAGTTTTCAAACTTACTTATATTTTTGGTGTTTTCGGTGAAAGATTTAGAATTTACTGTTATACTTGAAAAGCATGCCTATTTTCCGTAATTGTGAATGAGTTGAGCATCATATTTCTGAGTTACTTCGTGTACCATTTTATTACATTGTTATGAACTGTTGCTGGTTATTAGAGTTGGACTCTGACCCTTGTCCCAACTAGCCACTACTTTCAACCTAAGGTTAGGTTTGTTACTTATTGAGTACATGGGGTCGATTATACTCATACTTCACTTTTGCACCTTGCGTGCAGATTTTGGATGCATATATTGCTGCGTACGTCGGGAGTTGGATTTGAAGACGTACCTGCGTTTCGGGTCGTAGCTGCTACTTGTTCTTGGTAGCTTTAGAATTATTAATCTATTCATGTATATTTCAAACAGATGATGTATTTATTTCATACTAGCTTTGTAAACTCTAATTCTTAGAAGCTCATGATTTGTACTA